AAAAATGTCACCTTGGTGGATTCAGTCCACTGCTCTGGCCTGTTGAGATCTTCTTGGACTCTGACTCATTAACGTTTCCATTCTCCCTCTCAAATCTGGCACCTGAAAACTTGACAAGCCTGCCACCAATACCATTCTTCTTCCAAATCCTCATTTATAACATGGAAGAGGACAGAGCCAAGCATGCAACTCGATACGTCCCCCAGCGTGACAGTGACCTGTGAACAGCACCCTTGGCCATTCAGGGCAGGTGCGTCCTTGGCCCACATGTCTTCATCTTCCCTAGTGAGGATCTCATGGGTGACTGACAAATGGGGCTCACAATACCCTCCTCTCACCAGTGGTTGTAACGATGAAGTGTAAAGCTCTTAGAGCAGTGCACTGCATATAGTGAGCAATCAAATGTCACCTTTATAACTGATGAGAACTATAATAATAAGAAAAAAACCTGGTTTTCCAATTCCCAGACAAACTACTCTTCTTACTGGCAACCAAACACAGACATTAGGCAGCTGGAATCAATAGGAGCACTGGTGTTCAAAAGCTGGAGTCTGAATCCTGACTCTCCTTCCAGAATTTCCATGCTCTGAGGTTAACAATACCTGACCCTCCAGGGCTGTAGGGAGGAGTCAAGGAGATCAGGCATGTAAAAGAGGTTTAAAAGTTGAGTCAGGCTATGCAAACATAAAAGAAGAGTATTATGATTATTACTGTTATAAATAACTCGAAGATACCATTTCCATTGGCAGAAACCTGACTGTTAAGCCAAGGAGGAACCTATAGATGCACTCAGACTGCCAGAAGGTGGGTCCTCCAGCACAGAGCAGCTGGATTGCTGCAGCAGAACAGATTCCTGATCTCCTCTCAGCAGCAATCACCTCTCTCATCAGAGTGAAACCCAGGTTGGCTTATAAAGGGTAATGGATCCTCCTCCCAGCCTGCAGGAACAGACTGTCTCTCCATCGGCACCTTGTCGGAACCAGGACCCGAGTAATCTGCAGCAGGGATCTGCCAGGTGATGAAGGGCCAAGAGGGCTGCTTTTAGTTCCCCTGTGGCTTGACCCCAACTAATCCTTGGGTTTCTGTTCTGAATGGCAGTTTCTAAGAACACCAAGCTTTTCTAAGAAACCCTGTTCTTGTCTCACCTGAGGATGTTTGCCTTCTCAAAGATGTCCCATAGCAGGGGCAGAGAGGAACTGGTGTGGCCAACCATATATGCCCCTGGGAAAAGAGTAGCAGTTAAAATAAGAGGCAGAAGCTGGCTAAATTCTCCTCTCATAGTCCAAGCAAGGTTGGTTTCCCAACTTCCAGGGGGAATGAACATTGAAGGCAGATTGTAAAGATAAATATATATATATAATTGTTGGCAAGACACTGCGGATCATGTCAATGAGCCTATTAACAGATCAAGGAGTCTGCCCAGCAAGGCACTGGGAGGACGAGGCCCAGAAAAGAAGATAACAATTTCTGTCAGACGATTTTTGGAGCCCACTGGTCCACAAGCTACCCTACTCAACCAACCCCTGTAATAGTCTCCCTCAAGACAGCTGGGCTGCTGAAGTCACCTAAAAATCCTCAGAGGACACATGAAAGCTAACTCAGACTTGCATAGCCACTGTGACTCTCAAATATATTTTCTCTTTCTCTCATTGTCTTTCCTTTGACTCTGCACCCAAACAAAGAGACGGTGCCTGGTTCTAGACACACACACGTGCAGGAATGAGTCACAGACGAATCTCTACAGCATGGTGGTTATTGTAGTGATCTAATGTTGCTACGTAGAGTTGAGGCAGGACCAGGCTTAGGTGATTGGTGTTACGGGCTGAACTGTGTTCCCCCAAAATTCATATGTTGAAGTCCCAACCCCCAGTACCTCGGAATGTAACTGTATTCAGAGATAAGGTCTTTAAAGAGGTGATTAAATTCAAATGAGGCCAGTTAGGGTGGAGCCCTAATCCAAGGGGGCTGTTGTCCTCATAAGAAGAGAAAGAGACACTAGGGGTGTGTGTGCACAGGCGGGACAGCGGGCAGTAAGTACGAAGGGGCAGTAAGAAGACAGCCATCTGCCAGCCAAGGAGAGAGGCCTCAGGAGAAATCAACACTGCTGGCACCTTGATCTTAGACTCCCAGCTTCCAGAACTGTGAGAAAAGAAATTCCTGTTGTTTAAGCCACCTAGTCTGTAGTATTTTGTTATGATAGTCCTAGCAAATTAATACAATTGGTTTACCTAAAAACCGTTCATATTCACTGGATCAGGGAGAGAAAGCATAGTATGGAGGGCAGAGGACCAGGGATTCCTAACCTCTGACGTAACTGTAGATCAAATGCAGCTTCCTCGTCAAGGTGGGGACAGTCTCCTGATCCGGATGACTCGCAGATCCTGCCCGCTCTGGAGCCAGAGACTGAGGGAGCCTACAGGCACAGGAGCAGCTCGTCTGAAACAGTGTAGCCACAGCCCGGGAGGAACCAACGCCTTTATCGGCTTATTTACTCGTTTGGCCCCTTACCCTTGTGGGTTCTGATGAATCTATGTGTCCCTGCTGTCGTTCCAGAAAAAGATAAGACCGTGGGGGTGAGTGGGCTAATGGCAGAGTGAGGTAGCCACCAACACATTCACAGGTTTGATGAACCGACTCACACCATCTGGCCCAATGCTGCCTTTTGCTGGGGATCCACCCAGTCTCCGAATTCTGCCTGGATGCCTTGGTCCTCCCTCAGACTCCGGGACCCCAGGAGAGCCTCCTTGGGCTCCCCACTGGGTGTAGGGTGGGTAGAATCCCTCACCCAGGGGCCAGGAGAGGAGATGGACCCAAATGCTCACTGGCACTATGGGAATCCAGACACACAGGATCAATTATCAGTCCAACAACAGACAAGTCATTGAGCTCTCTCCCGGCTGGCGACAGGTGGAGTTGGGGGATCAAAGCAAGGAAGGAGGGTGTTTGAGAGGTACTGCAGGCCGACATCTGGAGGGGCTGGGAGGGGCGACACGCTCTAGGAGACAGAACTGACAGGCTGGCAAATGGCAGCGCCTTTACTTTCCCAAGGATCGCAGGGTGGGCGGGTTTGGCCAATTCAAATGCAAAAGCCCAATGGGCGAGGGTGACTGGGAAACCTTTCAGCATTCATTGCCATCCTTCTGCCACTCCAGCATGAGGCCTGTAGGTGCCCTCTACGTCTCTGCATTCACTCTGGCCGTGAGGTTATTTACACAGCGGGGTGGGAGCCCCCACAATCCCTGTTAGCTGAGATGCACACAAACCAGCACGCATCTCAAACCTGAGGCCTCCAAAAAGTGAGCCTCAGATCCTTTCGCAACCTGAGAGACTGGAGGAGGAAAAGGGAAGTGTAACATGGGCCCCATCCATGGGGGCAGATTTGAATCAAATTAGAACAAAGAGTTTCTTAACATCTGCGTTACAGCCAGTTCACCCAGTTTGATGGGGCAAAGAGGAGGCGAAGGTCTGATGGACAATGTCGAGGCCTGAGTTCTAGCTCCTCAGCTCCACTGTGCAAGCCAAGTCTCGTCTCCAGCTTTTTCTGCTGGGACCAAAGGGCTGACTTGTCCTTCACCAGCTCAGTGGGGCCACTGTGAGAAAGTGTGACACTCGCTCTAAACTGTAAAAGCTGAAAGCAAGATACCCTCATCATCATTCTCTGCAAGGTTAAAGGAGACCAAAAAATAAAACCAAACCAATATTGACATTTCATATAGATGAGAGAAACAAGGAGGAGAAGCAAGTTGCTCTTGGCAGCACTCAGCAGTCATAACCACGTCAAGTCTCGGCCTAATGGTCCCATTTACCACCTTGGAAATTTCCGTTTCAACTGTCCATTTTCATTTGTGTGTCAGTCGGTGATGCTGGGGGTGAGGAGAGTTTGGACTTGTCTGTGTGGGAACCAAGGACCCGGATCTGGGCAGACTCCCTACTTAGAAGGCCTTTCACGTGGCCGAAATGATGTTTACCGTTTTCTCCCTCCTTTTCGATTTGTTTGGTTTAAAATATTTAACCCGAGGCACAATGAAGTATCTCATTTACAACGTTCTCCTGGACCATTAGACCGAGACTGCACACTCATTATGCTGATGAACCTGCTACTTACCCATGCAAATTCCAGGAGCAGCAGACACAGAGAGAGGAGATGCTCAAGGTACCCTTATCAAGTGCTGGTTTAATTCCACAGCCATTTAGTGGGCAAAGCAGAGCAATTTTTAGCCATGTTCTAGTAAATATTATGGGAAACCCTTTCATAGAGTGCTAATTCTGGCTTAGTGATTTCAAACCTGACTGTAGTTCTCATTCAAACATGAACATGGCCCCCAAATGATGCTACAGCCAGGCCAGAAAATCAAACAGAGAATGCATTAGCCGGTATGCCATCTTGCACTTGATGATTATTTTTTTAAATGTTATAAACACTTGAGTATCACTGTTATTTAGGGGAGGACAAACTTTAAAACCCACTAACTTTCCTGCGGGCGTCCTGCTCTGCCCCTCCCCCAGGCTCAGCGAGTCTGCCAACCGGCTTTAGGGCGGGCTGCGGGCAGCCAGCTGACACTGCTCCTGCCGGTTGGACAAAACAACCCCGGCAAACGCATTTCGGACGTTGGAAACAATACCCAATCGCTGCATCCACCCTCCCAGAGCGCCCCAGAGGAAATGGCATCATTACTTTCATTTTACCCGGTTTGTGACCGACCGAAGGAAAACAACCCGTCCTAAAACAATTATCTGGGTATCTGATATCTACGGCTGGACAGTGTGCTCCGGAATGTTATCAAATGACCTCGCGGAGAAATGAATTTCCAAGTGCTAAAATAACCCTCGGCGGCACAGGCTCTGCCGTTTCGCTAACTGCAGAAATGGATTTCACTTTCCGCAGTTAGAAAACTCTCATGCATCCCCGTTTCTTCAAAAAAGTCTATAAATAACCGAGGATCAGCAAAATTATGCAAAACATCCTGCTAGAAGAAGAAATGTAAACTAAAACCACTTACAGAGCGACTCAGGCTGCCAACTTAATCTGATTCTACGACGACTGTAAACATGTTGTACTTTTGGAACCTGAAGCGATCCACATTAGCACGGATGCCATCGCAAAAAAAGAAAAGAAAAAAAAAAAGGGAGAAAAAAGCCCCAACAACTAAACACCAACAAAGCCCAACCTCGAAACAGAGCACCGGGATTCGGGGTTCCCCACGGTCCAGGACCCGACGGCTGACCAGCTGCAAGTCAGAACCAGCGATCCGAGCCTGCACACGCCAACTGTTTTGACTACAGGCACTTGTTAAACACAGAGTTTCAGGTCCTACCAGTTGGACACCAGAAGTTCATAGAACTGACCTGGTGCCAAGAACAACAAGCACAGAAAGCGAAACGGCTGCCTCGTGCGCCGTGTTTTGTTAACTGTTTATGCAAGCCCCAAAGCAACTGGGTAAGAATTAAGAATAAAAAAAGAACTTAAATAACAAAAGAAAAAGATTACCACCTTGAAGGAAATGTAGATGATGGCAGATAAAGGACAGACGTCAACCTAGTTTATTGGTGGGGTGGGTGCGTGGTTTTCGAGAGAACCAGTGGGGGGAGGGGCAGGTGTCACATGACAAACTGCGGTCATTAGCAGAAGGAACTGGGTGCTTCCTTAAAGCATCTTTTACTTAGAGATTGACTTAAGAGATTTTGCAAATGCAGAGGCCTTGGTACACATCTGGGGGTGACTGCAGAAGCATTGGAATTTGGAAGTTGGTAAATCCCACAGGAGAAAAAAGGGGCGTGCTAAATGGAGTTTTCAAGACACAGGCAAGGGACTTCCAACTTTCCTGCTCTGTGCAGTGAGGCCGCTGAGCCACATGGGAAGCAAACGGAGGGGACAGTGTCCCTGGGCTGTTTCTGACCTGGTCATGAGGAAGGTTTCCCTTTCCCCTTTGAGTTGAGGGTTGCTGGGGTCAACCTTTCCCCCTCATCAGGACTGGAGTCTGTGCTCTCTTACAGGTGACAGTGAATATAGCATTTTCATCTGGCAAAATAAAATAAAAAGGAACACTTAAATTGCTTATTTAACAAGGTTTTCCATTTCTTCCCCAGAACGCATCAAGCACTATCTCATTTTAGGACCAAGACAACCAGAAAAAATTTTAGAGTTATCTGAGGATTTGAGAAAACTGAATTCCAAAAGACCTGAGGGTGTGGATAAAAGAATGAGAAATTTTAAATTGCAGAATGGACTCAAACCTACCACCCCATATCTATCTATCTATCTATCTATCTATCTATCTATCTATCTATCTATCTATCATCTATCATTATCTATCTCTGATTTGAAGAATAAATTGATGCTCCTTCCCCACTCCAGAGGTTTAGGGGATAGTAACAAGTAAGTAGAAACAGGTTGTTGTAACCGTGGGCCAGGTTCATGTGTAATCTGGAGAGCAAAGTTGTTCCTCTGGTTCTGAGGGCCACCAGGGCAATGGTGGTGGATATGAACCCCCACGGTGGCCGCCCCTTTCCTCCCAAAGGCACCCACATTTTACTACGAACTATTGATAGAAGTGGTTTCACTGGGATCTGAAATGGAGCCCCCTGGAGCAAAATGCAGCAGTTGCTGGACAGATCAGGAGACAAGAGCAAAGGCAACTTAGAATATCCAAGACAAAGGAAGGGGCCGGGGAGGAAGAAGGCTGGGGGTGGGGGAGGGGAAGATGGGGAGGGCCGCTGCTGGAGAGAAGGTTCAGGTCAGGCAAAGTGAGTCCTCCACCAGCCCCGGCCTCCAGGTTAGCAGCTGACTCCTAAAAGCGGCCCCACAGCTTTTGTGAGACTTGCCTCTCACGTAGCACTCCACAGTTTACATGCCTCCTTCACACACATTATAGTACTTGATTCTCAGAAACATCCTGGGAGATGGGGAGCACTGGTATTATCCCCATTTACAAAGGAGGAAAACTGAGACTCAGAGAAGCCTTGGTCTCAGTCCTCAAAGGAGGACTCGGGTCGCTGTGGTACTTTATCATTCGCAAAGCACTTTAAATGTGGCGGGCTTTGTTATTCTCATTCTCACAGACAAATAAACTGGGATTTTGAAGAGGCTACAGATCCCGTCCAAGGTCTCCCAACTGCTAATCCCGTCCTCCTTGCTTGCCTCTATCGTGTTTCCAGAACACTTAATGATAAAACTCCAGTACAGTTGTTTTCTTATAAAAGCCCACCAGCTCACTTGGTTTTCTCAAAACTCCCTGTCTTCCTGGGTTTTCTGTAGCAGTCCACAGATTTCAGCTTCCTAACACGGAAGAGTTCCTCTCCACATGGAGACATCTGCGCTCCAGAGCTACTACTTCAAGGGAAAGCAACCATCTCCGCCCAGTTTGCACCCTGTTCTTCTTTGATTTGATTCATTTACCCATGTGCTAACCCCTGGCTCCTCACCTAACCCTGGTCTAAGCAGCAGCCAGGGTGGAATGTTCCAGCAGGTCTGCCAAGCTGTAGGTCACGTTAGCCTGCATCTCCATGGTGTGCTGCTCACATGTGGAAGGGATGTGGGCTAGCACACGGTTTGGTGGATCTCTTCTTCAACGCTGTGTTTCCAAGTTATGCTTTTGCTCAGTTCTTTTGCAACAGACGCCACTGAAAATACTGGAACAAATGAAGGGTCCCACTGTCATGTGCCTTGTCTGTGCCAAGTGGACATACTCAACAGTTTGATGGGGGGGATATTACTATCATGTGATGCACGTGAGCAAGTTCATTGCAGGTTGGGGGCATTTGCTCTGAGGGAACATGGCAGTGGCCACGGGGTTTGTAGGGGTGAATGGAGATGTCTGTCAGGAACCCAAGTGCTCAGGGCCCTGACCAGAGATGCTGAATGTGGAATACAGGAGAGGAGACAGTCAGGAGGTGATGATTAGAAAGTTCTAGAAAGTTCTAGAATGTTCTGCCACCATCTTATGAATCTACCTTTCTCCCTGAAAATACAACACAACAAAACATAGAACCAAAGGCCAGAGACATTGGGTGTCAAGGCGAACTTTATGATGAATGTCACTAAAGCAGCCTACGTTGTGAAGACTAATCATATCTTCGTGCTCCTGTTAACTGGAGAAGCTCTGCATTCCCATGAGATGCACAGGTGGCACCTCTCACTGGTTTATTTGGGGTTGTTTTGGTAAGCACACGACATTTGCATCCATTCTGCCCAAAAAGAATATGGGGACTGGGTAAATCAGAACAGTCTTGGCAGGAAAATTCTTTTGCTTACAACATACAACGTGAGTAGAATATTTCCACATACCTTGTGACTCCTCTGACCATAGAGACCATTCTTTTATCAAAAAGTAGAACACACGATTTGACAAGCGCTGGTATATTTAGGGAAGACAGGGTAGGCTATTTAAAATCAGAACTTCTGAAAATCCAGGAGGCGTGGCCACCAAACTTGTAACATCACATTATTAAAAGTGGGCTAATAGAGAGACATGGAATATTAGCAGAAGTTTGTTGTAGTTAGTACTAGTGTGCTCAACAAAGCTAGTTCTACCACAGACCAAACACTGCTTTGCTGATGGATGTGGTGGTTTTGGGAAGGCTGGTGAGCACAGTACATCCAGCCCTTGGAGGACGATGGCACTGATGGAGACAAAGCTGGGGCCCTGTGCCCATGCTCTGGGCATTTAGACTCCCTTCCTGCCAAGGGAGCTGCATCAGAGTACAGAGGACTGCTCAGGGACCATATGGTCTTTAAAACATGGCCTGGATATGTGGAAAGCTGATCAAAAACAGGATGGAGCCAAAAAAGGATGGAGGCCTGAGCTGTCAGGAGCCAGAAAGGCATGGTAAACATGTCAGCAGCTGTGGTGGCAGACCTGGCTTTACCCCTTGGGATCTTGTCCCTGACACTGCCCTTCCAGGTTGGGACCTGAGGTTCAGCTCGACACTCTGCACTTTTGCCCTGTTTCCTGGGTTCCTGGGACTGAGCCAGCCTGCCTGATCTTACCTGGGACTCACTTTGGGCTTAATCCTTTGTGATGTGGACTCATGACCAAAGCCCCTGGGCCAGTTTTGCACATATGGGTGCCACTTACCCTAGATTCTTCAGGAGAGTGCCAATTTCAACCTGCCTTAGGCAGTCCTGCGCCACAATTTGAAAAATGACTTTAAATGCCAGTTGACTGGAATCTGGACCACTACACTGTAAGTTCCTTGAGGGCCAGTTCTGAGTCTCATTTATCTTTGTAGCCAGTGCCTAGCCAGAGCATAGAAGCCTCGCTGTGCATTTTTAATACACGTTTTGATTGAATGAATGAAGGTCCTTTTAATGTACATCACAAATATATATGTATACCTTATTAGGTATACCTGGAAGGTGAATATCTTTATGTTAAATATGTATCAAATTTAGCATTCTAATTAATTTTTAATTAATTAAATTTTTAAAAGTAGAATATTTTATTTTATATTTTTTAGGTCTCCTTTTTTTCCCCCCAGTCAAATTTGGTGTTTTTAAAAGTTATGTTTGTGATTCAAGTTGGGGAGAAGGTAGAAAGGCTTTCCATTTAAAATTTAAAATGCTAAATCTTCAAAAAAATTGCAGGTACTTTGTAACAGGAAGCTTTCCAAAAGATCTTCATCCCACTGTACTTTGTCCCCTTAAATGGTATACTTTGAACATTATTTGATCCTTTCTTTGATAACTCAAGGTCACTGTTAAGGGCATTCATTTCTATACTTTGCTGTAAAACGGTGGTGACTTGAGGGCCTACAATTGTAGCTTTCAAACTTTCTGACCCTGATCCAACTTAAGAAATGAATTTTATACTGCAAGCTAGTATGCACATATGGATATGAGACAAAAGTTCCAAAGGATAATATTTATCTTTGTGAAGTAAAACACACTCTGCTATTTTCTCTTCTTCTCTCTTCCACTGTTTAAAATGTTGGTGAGGACTCACTAAATTGATTGCCCCCCATTGTGAGCGGTGCCCGTGGTTTGCAAACACTGAGAGAGTATGCGGGACTGTCTGCCCCTGCAGAAAAGGGCCCTCAGCTTCCCTTCTTTTTACTGTGAGGGCCTGCCTCCACAGTCTTTCTCAGAGTGCTAATTTGTCGAACTTGGAAATCAGACCCTCAAGCTGGCTGGTATTCTGTATAAACTAAGTGTAAGCTGTTGCTCAATGAAAGCCTGAAGAGTGCCCCCATGGACGCCCCGTGGGACTCGGTCCTCTTTGAGTGCTCAGAGCTCCTGGCTGGGTTCCCAAGGAGCTTCACTCAGCGGCAGAGGTCACGACACTGAGGTGTTACTGGACGTGCCACGCGTAAACACGAGCACGTGCACTCGAATTCTCCTTTTTTGAAAGGAATAGTCTGATGATTGGGCCTCAGGCTGGAAGGCCTATTAAATGACAGAGGCTCCTGGCAGCAACGTTGCTTCGTGAATGACCAGATGTGGGCTCCAGTGCGTGAGGAAGTTATTCCTAAGGTAACTGA